ACGCTGTGAACAGAGTCGTTTGGCAAACGTGAATTGCAAGTAAATAACAGGATTGGAAGAGACTGAATGGGTCGAAATGTGGATAGAGACCTATAAAGCCAGTTACGTATAATCATGATAAAAGTGAAGCTGCTGTTAACGTTGATTCAGTGCCTTGGGCTTACTTGTAGGATTTCCAAGGTTCAGCTGGTATTTCGCTTCCTCGTCTCCAATTTTAAGCCACGCATATTCAGCGTACAAAGTGTTTCTAGAAACCAGTAGCTTCTTATCGTTTACCCCAAGAACTATTCGAAGCCTGTTTTCTGTCTTATTCTCAGTCAAGCGGCGGATCTTCTCCAATCCAAGCCAATATTCACCAACGAGGAAATTACCGAAGCCATGTTTGTAGTCATCCCAGGTGCGGTTAAAATCAACGGAGCCATTCAGTCTCTTTTGGATCACTGTCCATCCTCCACCAGCTGTCGACTGGTCGCAATATACATCAAAGGGAGCTTTGTCATCAGGGTAGATTGTATAAACACCGCTGATTCTTTGATCAGAGTTGTAAAGCTCAGCACAGTTCTTAGCTTTTAAAGATGTCAAGAAAATAGTTTGGTCTTCTATTAGAGTATCAATTAAAGAGTTTAAAATAGGGAAAAAAACAAATGATATAGAACCAAGTTAAAGAAACAATACATTGGCTATCTCAATATAACAGAGAGCGAATTCCCACTTACATTTCTCAAATCCAACAACTAAAGATAACAACTGAATCGCGAACAAAAGTGTCACACTTTGCAGCAAAGTAGGCATGATGCAAATATCTTTCTTCTCCGACCTTAAAGCATGAGATTTCATGCACACAATTGTAGACTGAACAATTTACAACTGCTCAACCTTGTATTTATACCCAGCTATTGAAAACTCTGAACGTAATGAGAAAATGCTCGAAGACAACTGTATTCCCCGGGAATCTCCCCTCCTGATTGTGAAGGATGTTTGAAACATACCACAAATGTAACTCATAATCAATTAACATAAGAATATCGACAAAATATTTAAGTGGTAGGAAGTGTGAAGACTGCTAATTTGTTCTTATTTGAAGATGTCTCCTTTGCTTGTTCAAACATCAAAACCAAAGAAAAATCCTAGTTAAGTGAAATAAGCTCCTCTAAGAAAAACTGATTAGCAAGCCAAATTCTAAAGCGAAACCTCGTCACTCCTTAAATGTAATTAATTGTTCCGTCAAAATCAGACGGTGACTGTTTAAAACAGTAATACAGTTTAAAGAATTGGTATATGTTGACGGTCTCATCAAAAAGGTCACGAGGAAAAAGTTCTATCAATTTCATTCATAGGTGATCGCATAAGTCTAAGAAATAACGCTAAAATCCCCAAGGTAAATTGAAATCTCTACGTGTCCCGTCGTTATGTTTCTGGCGCATTCTTACGAGTTTACGGAAATCAAGCGGCCCCCGCAGCAACCGTTCTTACAAAAATATTTTCTTTTATAAAACCGAAAAAAGGAAAAAAAGGAAACGCGGGATCCTGGATTCCAAAAGCTGGATTCTAGATTCCAACGCCCGGTATTCCGATTTCCACGAGCAAAAATTTCCTGGATTCCGGAATCCGGATTACCTTACATGGGACGAACGGAAGTTCCCCGTGCTGTTCCTTATAACGTATTAAAATCCTAAATGATTCCTCTAGTAACTTAACACCGAGTTCCACAACGTATGACGCTTTCATAAATTCATCGTTTGCTTTTTCTCGAATCGCGAGCCTGGAACGCCTGCGATAAAACAAATTAAGAATTTGAACAGTTAAGTGCCTCAGGTCAGAAAATGTTCATGGAAACCACGTCAGTGGATGCGGCGGAAACTAACTTACACAGTCTATTTTCTGGATATGATAAATAAAGGTGAACTTAAAGATTGATTTAATCACATAAACGGTATGAGTTCATTAAGGAATCAAATATTCTATCAAAATCAGGCTATGATTGCATAAAACAGATAACAGTTTATAGAACTGTTGTATTTTGGCCATTTTTTGTTTTTGTTTTTGGAAAGACCACAGGCGATTCAATGTGAGGATCTTAATTTACTGCGAATCTCACTCATAATTGCAAAATGAAAGCGTGAGTCATTTTACTGTAACCTCTCAGGTGAATTGCCATCTTCAAAAGATGTGCAGTCATCATCTTCGGGGGACATCAACGTAAGAGTCAGCGTGACTCTAACAAACCATGTAGCCACAGCTCTTGAATTTTTTTATATGTATATATCCATATAAGAATTTGGAAGTACTCGTAGCCAGAACGTTTTCATGGAATGTTTCCGCCTTACTGAAAGCAGCTTCAACAAAATTACACAGTTGAGTCTCTCATTAGAATAAACACAGGTAAACTGAAAGATTGACGTAGTTTTTAAAATAGGCGATGCAAGAATTTAGAAAAGTAAGGTGCATGAAACTAGTAGTTACACTGCTTAATTCTAAACGTTCATAAGTAAGTCTTTCTATGAAATTCAAACCGTTAAAAACTCGGAGCTATCATTAGGCAGCTTGTTAAGACTGACATCGATTAGAAATTGATTTCTGATCATTCCATGCAAATTATCTTAATGTTAACACTCAAGGATATATATTCACTTGACATTACACTTTCATGACTGGCGACACACACCATTAATTAACCTAAGAGCAAGATCGGAATTCCGTTACCATTACAATTAGCGGTTTGCTCGTTATTTACAGTGAGTTTACATTGTTCTGCAAAAATGAAAAAAATTAAAAGGATCCAAATAGGGCAGCTCTCTAAACCTTTGTCTTTTTAATTCGTTATCCGGTTGATATAAATGTTGCGTGCTTTTGATGACGCATTTCACTCCTTTAAGGAGAGGTTGAGGTTTCCGCTGCCCATTGAAATCGTACAACCTCCATCATCGACCTAGCGGGAATCCCCAGGGAACATAACACTCCTTTCTTAAGTCTTAAGTATTACGTCTACTTCACTCCGCCTTAATTGCACATGATAACTTCGGTTTGCCATGCAATAGCAAACAGAGCATTTAAATCAATTCACTCAAAATAATTAAAGGGGGTACGTTGATATCAAATATTAAATAAATAAATAATATTAAATATTGATATCAGTGTTCATTTCCCAAAATTTCTTTTGTATAGAGAAGACAGCCAATCGTGACTTTTTCAGTCGTCATAATGGCTCCCAGTTTGTTTACATGGGACGAAGATCCCGCTATAAATAAATGCAGTGGAGGTTTGTGGTACAATGTCAATTGTGTGTAATTGTGAGTGTGTAATTCATTAAGAATTCTGGTTTTAATCGACACATGCACAAGAAGTGGACGATGATTACGTGATCGTTTCCTTGGACGGCTGGAATGCGGAGAGGAATCGCCGCGTCTGTGATCCACGAGAGATCAGGGATCGAACATTGCCTAATCGGAAGAGAAAGGGAAGAAACCTTTCCCTTCAGTGAACAATGTCTTCGCTTTAAGAAAACCGACTTTTACTTTTAAATATTACCCAAACTTATGTAAACAAAAAGCTCAAATCACGGTTCGCTTCAATTTCAGGCGTGAATTTGCATAATCTTTCATGGACGAAATCTTTCTGACTTTAAAAGATCAAAACCATTTTCTAAACTAAGTCTATTTTATCTTTATCCACTTAGCAAACAAAGCTTTCCAAATTAGGATTAGGATAATTACGAGCTGTTGTTCACCGAAATACCGTATCCAAAAAAAACAAAAGAGTCAACACCGCAACACCGGAAACCCTCACAAATCATTTAGAATGAAGTCGAGGTAACCTCACTATAATTAATGGCAATGGGAAGTTATTTTTAAAAAACATTTTTAAAAAAATATGGTTGCTCCATCCGTTGTCACGCAGATCTCAACTGACTCGGATCAATATCCATAACTTGTGACGGTAAACTGTGGTTTTGTTACGGTGAAGTGAATATCTTTATTGGAGGAAATAACCTCAAAGCTCTCAGTCTCGTGTCAAATCCGTTACGCACTAAGTAAGTTCACACGAACTCCATCA